AAATGCCATTTCAGGTAAGAACTGGCAGCAATGGCATGTGCCGATGAGAAATCGATCGATTGCTGCAGCGAGGGATCTACCAATTGACCGAACAATAGAACTAGGAAATCCTGTAGATCACTTATAATGAGAGAAAGAGCGATATAAATTCACACAGCGTTTCCTACACTACTTTTCTTACCATGTGCCAAAAATGATCCAAAAATATTTTATTATCAGTGATAAATGATAAAATGCTTGTATCAGTGATAAGGGTGGATAAAAACTGCCCATTTTTTTGCGATAGTTTTCGATAATGGGAACTTCGTACCAGAACCTCCTTTTCGCGATTTACACGGTGATAGATGTTCACAAAAGCTTTAACATAGAAAATAACAAGGTATCACCATATGTCTACCGTGTCACTATGAATTACGGACATATTGTATACCAGAAGATTCGTCTCATCAAGCTGAAGCCAAATCTTCACGCAGATTACAAATAAAGCTGTTTTAAAAGAAGTTATAGCTAAATCCCGCTTATCCCGCAAATCCCGCGAATCCCGCAAATCCCGCGAAGTCGCAAATCCCGCGAATCCCGCGGATCCCGACAATCCCGCGAATCCCGACAATCCCGCAATTTTGGACAAATTCTACCGCTGCAACTGTAGGTAGTTAAGCTCCTTAAACTTTGACAGGTTTGAATTTCTTTTCTGCTTGGTCAGTGGAAACCAATGTACGTGCCTTACAATCTCTCTATCTTTAACGGTGAAAGGGTAAACGCAAACTCGCTCAACGCGCACAAAAGTGGGTTGCGCGCGCGCCTCGAGGGCAATTTTCCAGCTGGGGCGGGGGGGGGGAGGTGCTGTGCGACCACACCTGCTCTGTTCTATTATTTGAGTGGCAAGCAACGTACCACATCAACTCAAAAATATTAATTTTGAGTCACTGCCCATCGGCTATGTTAGTGCGGAAGCGGCGTTCATGAATTCTTCTAATTGAATAATGAGTAACATTTTTGGTCAGCGTTTCGATGCGAATCAATGATATACAGCTCAATTGGATGAGCAAAAATGAGTTCTGGCCATTCCTTTGTAGGCTGCGTTTTATAAGAACCTGTAAGATGCCTGATTTGTAATGATGCTCCTGTTGTTTATCTTTTGGCTAAATTTCATACATAGTGAACAATAACGGAAGATACGCTGCTATAAAGAACATAAGCAAATCTACTCTCACGAAGTGAGGTAAAGCGACGATGGGAAATTCACCACAGTTATCACCGCGCTTTTGCGACATTCTCCGCTTAAATGGGCAGATAGGGAGTTTCAATTAGGCATGGAAACGTACTTTTAGGGAATCCTAGAATAGAACGGTCCTTAGGTGACAGGTAAGGTCTGTTTTCTGTGTTATATGTTTTGAGTAGATTAATTCGATGTTTTGTCTTAGGAGTCGTAAGGCAGTTTTTCTCATAAATACGGTCTTCAAGCAGCATCCCGGGCATGCACTTTCCTTCAAAACATCGGTTTGTAAGCGGTACGTAAGGCACTTTGTTTGGGCAAGGAAATAGTTCAACGTTTGGAGTAGTTCTTATATTGTCGGCCCCTAAATGGCACGTAGGGCAATTTGAGGAACATTGGGGGTAAATGCTTGATTTCGTTGTTTTTTCTCAGGAGTCGTAAGGCAGTCCTTTCTTATGAATAAATTATTCAAGCGGCACGCAGGACTTGCATTCGTTGCCGGAAATTTCGTCTTGCGAAAATTAGTGATCGATTGCCTCGCTAAATACCGTAGCAATATAGCGCAAGAGAATTCAGAGGTCTGGTTTTAGGGGTGGGGGTCCTTTTTTTGTAGTAAATTTATATTTATAATACACACAACTTGTAGGGCATGACAAAGTTTTGAGACAGTTGATTGTTGATGTCAAAATTGATTTTAAGAGAAAAGCGATGTTCTCTGTAGTATAAGTTATTATCATGGGTGTTCTTCTACTCCCAAAACGATGTGTATTTTGCTACTTTCCTAATGCTCTTTCACGAAGGAAAACTGGATGTACCAATTTCTTCGAGAGTAGTAGGGTGCAGTTTATTTTTATCCGAATGAGTCTTTGTGAAGAGAAAAGATTTGCAGAGGAAGCGTGGTGACCGAAAAATTTCTTTTCGTAATCTCGCATAGTTATGACGGGGCTTTCCAGAAATGCTGAATGATTTGCAAAGTTTATCGCTCCTCCAGCAGTCCCCCTTTTTCCAAATGCTTTTTCACAAAAATGTTTTTGGAAAAGGAGTAGGAGGTTTATGTAGAGATATTTGTAATTACAACTGAACCTAATATTGCACTGCCATGACCGACTTGCTAGCGAGCCGCAGGGTAGCTAGTCTAAATTGATAAATATTATTCCAAAAAGAGTCATTTTTGGAAGGCGAGATATCCATACAGTTACGATTTGGCTTTTCAGCGAAAAAAGAAGAATAAAGTGATTCACATCTTCGTCTGAAAATAGTTAATGAAAATGAGTTGCATGGAGTTCCGCTTCAATTGGCGCAGGCAAAGGCAATGATGCAGCAGAAGCACGGTGCTTACCTAATTTCCCCAACTTGTTTTGTTATATGAGCATAGGTGTTTTTCAGTTCTTCCTTTGTGCTACGATCGCCTAGTCTTTTTTCAAATTGCAGCTCCTGCTGTTTATTAAGCATTTGAGACAGGGTTGAGCGTGGGGTCAGGCGCGCCCGACCTAGGGGGTCGTATCAGGGGTGGAAGCGGGGGGGGGGGGGGTCGTATTTGAAGGTAGGAGCAGGCATGCAATCATGGGAGCCGATTCTTCTCCCACGTACACTGAGCTGGTGCAGAATGACAGCCTTCACTTTTGGATCTGGAAACTTTTCCCACCGAATGAAAACGTGATAAGGAAAAGAAGATAACACATTAGTAAAGGCATATTTTTGAGTGAATTCCGAAAATTTTTTTATCATCTACTACGAGCACCAGGAGGACATCATCGCTTCGGACGAACTACGACACCCCCCACGATCCTCGAAAATAAGGTTTTTTGATAGCTTCAGAAACTCTAACTGAGGCCCTCGTTAGGGCTAACAACTTAACCATCCGGCCATCCTGAGAGCCGCTAACATCATGAATACAACTGCATTTCCGAAAGAAGCTGTTCTAATAATTTGTGAGACTAGGTCTGTCGAGGAGGTTACCGAGAATTTCAGAGATTAAATAGTAAAAATTATTAGAATTGCACCGATTTGAATATTGCTAGCAAAATAACTGTCACTGACTGGTTTCAGTGTAATGTTACAATAGATAGTGAAAAAATTGTGTTGATATAGAAGTCCAGCCGGAAATTAGAATTTTGGAAGTTGAAGCTGCGTAAATCGGCCAAAATTCCAACTCGTTCAAAATACGTATACAGAAGTAACAACTGATGAAAGGCAATAGTTAGAAATTAAGTACTGCTCTAACAAATAGCGAAAGAAGAAGGTCGATTTAGGAGCTCTTCGCCTAAAATCAAGCATTTGAAACTAAGATGGCAGCATTTCCTGCTTGATTCTCGACGTGACTGAACCGACGCACAATGGAGGCGAGGAGAAAGAGGGGCTCGGCAAACAGGGAGTCTATTCACAAGGAAGTATTTGATTTGGAGTCTATAGAACTTCTCAGTTAGGTGTAAAGCGTTTCGCTAGCTAAAAGCGCAATATCCGTACTATACCTACCGTAACCTTACCAAAGGGGTCATACCAAACGAAGTGAATGCTATTTTGCAATCACCATGCAAAATAGCCTTTGTGAGTCCCTTATATGATTTCCTGCAACAGTTTACTATTTTTTCGAATGTCTGATAAGCGCCATTTTCGAACATAATCAACTTGGTTTTAGTGATCAAAAACATCAATCTTTTTACATGTGTTACAAAATAGTACCCTTTCCTAACACACCCTAGCAATTTCACCTTATATCACTCCCAAGTGATAAATTTGCAAGCCCTGCAAAATTCCGACAGTCGCTCTTTTAACTCAAAGTAAGTTTACTCCATGGACTCCTGAAAAGTCGGAACAGGACGAATCAGCTACAGGCACCTAATGCGTGATTTACGAGGTTCGTACTAATGAATCACAAAGATTTATCAGAAAAAACTTTCTTTGAAATGAAGTTAATGGGGTCAGGCGCAACCCCTCAAAAGCTCAGGTTGCCTGAGCTTTTGAAGGGTTGCGCCTGACCCTATTAACTTACCTTTGAACAACTCAAATTTTCCCGCTCTTTAGCTCAAACTCTTGGGTAAACCTTTCTCTCCGCGCTATATAAGTTTCGTTGGATATCTTCACCCCTCGCAAAAGTTATCGATGTTTCATCCTACCTATCCGCTGGAAAGAAGCGTGGATAATTCCTCATTTAATTTCATCTTACTGTAGAAACGAAGTTCATGCGGATCGCTAAACGCGGAACTTCACGCGGAAAACTTCATTTTTCGAGCGCTCCTTCAATCTCTTGTCGTCGCCATAAGTTTAACGATGATGATATTTGCCAGTATGTTGGAATTCTGATTTCAATCCATTTTAGAAGTGTTTTACATCTCTATGTTCTGATGATATTCATCTTGCGTTCTTAATTTCATGTTTGTGTATCGTGTGCTGGAAATTTTTTTTGACTAAGTGACTGACGGGATCCTATTCCGTTTGCTCATTCGAACCCTTGACCAGGTATACGTCAGATTAGTTTGTTTCAATGTCCTTTTGCAATAAAAAACGCAAGATGTTAGAAGCATGGGAAGCTGCATCTATTCGCTCCAGCTTGACACCCCCTTGCTGCGGCAGTAAGTAGGAAGTGTTTTTTCTTTTTCTTTTTTTGTGAGTAAAAACCTATTTTAAGTCACACGAAGAACAACTGATTTGTTTCGTCTGGTTTTAAGCAGCAGTAGTCGAAATATTGGCAAAGAACACTTGAAGAAAGCCTTGGAAGGTGAACATTTTTTAAGGTGGTTGTGAGATGCAGTCAAGTCTCTGTAGATGAAACACCTTGTCGTGAATGATGTGCATGCGCGTCTGCATACCAACTTCTCAGGCTAAACGTAGCGCAGCAAAAGGAGTTCGAACGTGTTCACCAGATCTAAAAGGAAAGAACCTTGGCACAATTCGGGACAAGTTTGTGAGTGGGAAACGCCCCATTATTTTCTTCTGTTACTTATCTTTCTTTAGATGGGACATTATGTGGGAGAAATCATCAACTACATCTTTCAAAACGAAAAGCATGTGTGCATAAACGGTATACGCGATGTACCTGTCGCGAAAGGTAGCCATTGTCGCCTTCGCTTCCTTTTTTAACCCTTTGAACGTCAAAGAAGAATTCTTCAGGTAACAGATGCTGTAGTTGCAAAAGTGCCATGATATGAGTGCGCAAACTGCTCGGTATCTATGGAAGGAAAACATCGGCGTCCGAAATTCTGCGCTATTTGTCATCTATACTTCAAGTATGCTTTAGTATCTTTTACGCTTGTATTCTTAGCCTGCGAGCCCTTATCTGCTCACCATGCTTACTTTAGGAGAAATGGCACTCATCGAAATGTGGTGGGAAGGTTGTTTGAGGACGATGAGAAGATAGTGAAGCGGTGGGTAGAGTTGGAAAGAGGCAATAAGCGCGTATCGTCTAGCGATGAGGTTTGTTTGGTCTATCTTATATACATTTTTTGCTACCAGAAACTAGACCTTGTTTGATTCTTTTCTTTTGGGTTTGTTCCGTAAGTGCATAATTCAAGTAACTTTCTACTAGTTTTTGTCATGATCATTCCACCTGCGTTTTGGTTTATCTGCTATTGCAATACGGTGTCTCGACCTGGCTTTAGTAGTCTGTAATAATAAGGCGCCCTATTTCCGAGCTCCTATCTTGGTGTAGGTTTAACGATAGGTCTGGTAGGTCTCAAAAGTGAAAATTTGATGAATGATCTAATCGTTTAGTCATAAACGAGGTCCTAGTTGGCTTCACTGTATAAGCTATATTCACTTATAGTTGATGCCATAGCCCCTTTTTCAACTTGCTTACCATGATAATCTCAGCTTTATCTCATGATGCTAAGCTTCCTGCAAATTCTTCCAGATTTGTGCGGCCTAACATCATTGCGGAACGCATATCAGGTTCTTTAAAAGCTCCTATCAATGGATTTCGGTATGCGAGTGATTATGTGTGCTCTTATTAGTGCCGAAAACCTCGCTGTTTCAGATACTCTTCTTTGCGTGGCAACAGAATTGATGTCCTATACAACAACATCAAACTTGCGTTCTTCCAACCATGTGATAACGAGATGATCATTTTGTTGCACTTCAATTTGAAGCTTCCGGTGCTTTGGGGTAAAAAAGAAATACAAGTGAGTTTCATTGGTGCTGTTTTAGTGCTTATTTCTAATCTAATAAGGTTTTATACCTATTCGTTGCATTAAATCCTCCATCGATACTTGCTTTTATATTTTTTTCTCCACATAGCTACAGTTGGTGTCAATCACGTACTCCCTTTTCCATAGGAGCAGCGTGTCCGCGCGCGAGAGCCAGGCGTGCAGACCTTCAGTCGATGACGCCAGTTTGAATGCTCAGGTTGAACGCGCGCGACCGTGGCGCGCAGCTCTAACGTAGCGATAGCGTCGGCGAAGAAGGGAGTACGTGATTGACACAGACTGTAGTAATCTAACGTTTTAGTAGCATTCTTTTTTTGTACGCTTCTATACCCAGTCGGTTCTCATAGATTTTTTGTTCAGAGCCATTTCTTCAACGTCGTAAGGTCAAAAGACCAGGTCTGCGAAGACTGCAAAACGATGAGCCTCCAATGAATATGTAAGGATCAACCCTGCGAAGACTCAGAGGCATGAGCCTACGATACCCGAAGAGTTATTTAGTAAATTGTTTTCTTTGAATAAAGAGGTATGGCTATGGTTTTTCTTTTTCTTGTTACTTTTTTACATTTTTTTTTGGAATAATCATATTTCTTTAGCCCAATCCTCAATATAATGTGCTTGCACTGTATTAGGTGAAATGCGGTAGATTGCGCGTGAACGAATAGGTGCGACTGTGACGCCGGCCGATTGCGCGCGCAAAAGGCTGGCATTGCTGTCGTGGGTACTTGACGCGTATATTTTACCCCATTTCACCTTCAGTGAAATGTGGTAAAATCTGTGGATAGGTTCACAGCAAGTACACTATATTTAGCGGAAAATCTACTCAACTGTATCTTCTCGTTGTCATGTTTGGATCACGATATCGTATCCTAATTTATGTCTAAACAATTGTAACCTTGTCTCGAGGCTTTTCGAGACGTCTCGAGACGAGACTCTTGCCGAGAAAAGCCCAAAAGCGTTCGAAAAAGCCCGACAAGGCCCAAAAAAGCCCGAAAGAGCCGAACGCAGAGACGAAATTATGGTCGAATTGACGTTATTTTTATGTGCAGACATCAGAAAATGAAGCAAAAAGATGCGGTTGCGAAATCAACATTATGCGTTAGCACCAAAATGGGAGGGGGCGTTCCTGCTCTTTTTGGCGCTTTTGGGCTTTTTTCGACTTTTTTCGGCTTTTTCGGGCTTTTTGGGCTTTTTTCGGCGAAGTATGACGGTCCGTTACACAGAGAAGAAACCTGCAGAGCTTGGGGGGGGGGGGGAGAGGAAGGGAGGGGGGTCGTATCTAACACGACCATGGGGGGGGGTCGTTTCCGGCCGGGCTGCGCCTGACCCCTTGCTCAACCCTGATTTGAGATCAGGGCTCGGCATGAAATGGCTTCTTCATTTTTCCAAAAACGAAGTCAGACTTCGTTTTTGGAAAAATGAAGAAGCCATTTCATGCCGAGCCCTGATTTTCCCCATGGACTTCGTCACCAAGATACGACATTACCTATGAATGGAATTTTACGAATAACAAAAAATAATGGAACAAAACATTAAAAAAAAACTTGAACACACGAAGAAAACTAAAGAAGTACGCGTTCTCCGAATTGGCGGAATGCTGTATCTGGCACGCACCATTGCGGGCTTGGAGCAGGCTTGCCGCCGTCATACAAAATTTTTGAAGGGCTGTAACAAGGCGAGGGAAGGAGATTTGGGGAGATTCAAAGGCTCAGTTGTAGGGTTTCTGGTGTGGTACAAAGTTATGTTAAACGCGATAAAATTATGTGACGGAAGAGATATCTTGACATTTTCTCTTCACAGCCATCTCAGGTGGTTGAAAAGCCACCCAAATCCGAAAAAGCTTTGCCACGCCTTCAGTTCACATAACTTTTTCGTAATTTTTCATATATAGTCCCAACTCCCTATTGCCCATCTACACACCAATTTTGGTGTTTTCATTTTCTCTTCGCTGTAAAAAAGCTTTTATTGCGGGGCAGGTTTTTGAATCGCGTGCTTAACTGACGAACTGTTGGAACAGGAATTTTTTGTTTTTGCAGGAATGGGGTCGAAGCATCAAAGATGACAATCTGCGTCCTTCATAGAAGATGAAGGGTGACATACGAGGGAGAAATTGATTGTGGGGGGAGGGGGGGGGGGCTGAGGTTTCTTTGAACGATCCTCCTTGCTTTTTAACCCGAAACGACACCCAGCTTGCCTTGTAAGCCACTCATGCCAAGCCCTGTTTGAGATGCTTTGTGGTGTTCAAGGGGTGGGCGTTAGGTACCCAGACATTAGTGGTATACACTAAGCCACGCCCCTTGGTTGCTTTAGCTCTTTTTTATCAATTTTAGAATCAGTTTTGAATGAAATTTGAATTAAACTAGCATGTTGAAAGTTTTCAAAAAAGGCTGAATCTTTTTGAGCACTTCACATAGTTTAGCAAAAAAAATTGTGTAATGAAAAGATGTCAGCGGATAAAAATGTAAATTTTGTAAAGTTGCGGTAAACCAAAATTTCAATGAAGCAAAACGCATTATCGGAGTTGCTTCTTGCTAATAAGTTGCACGGAATATTCTTATGTCTCGAAAAACTGCTTCAAATATATTTTTGTGAAACGTGGAAATCGATCGAAAAAGAGTTTCGAAAAAAATTTGCCATTAGGCAATCGAAAGGTTGTGGAGAAGTCTGTGACCCATTATTCTATTAGGTCGCTCCGAAAGTAATGTTTTTTCAAACGAACGCCACATCTCGTGGAACAAAGATGTGCAAGAGGTAGCATTTGATGCAACATTTCATTTTCTTTCTAACGGTTATATAAACACTCAACAAACTCTAATAACCTTTTGAAAAATTAGCAAAATCTGCGACCCATGCTTTTTGAGAAGACCAAGTTTCACAATTTTTCTAAATTTTTATAACAACCCTCGGAAGGAGTCCAAGTAATGGATGGATAGAGCAAACCCTACAGGAAACAGCACAACTTTTTTTTACTTTCTAGAGCTCGTTATAATTTTTGTATAGATTTTTTGATGGAACAACCGAATTTTGGCAGACACGTCTCAGACGGGTGCGTAGCAAGTGGTACCCAGGCAGCCGACTGCTGCCGCAGCCAGCCGCCAGAGCTGCTTGCAAAGCCGCTGCAGATGGTACAATAATTACGCTCGAGTGTAAAACTCTTGCCAGGAGGTTTTCTCGCGCCTCGCCGCTTTGAGAATGCGATATCAGCCTCAGGAAAGCGTGATATCCTCGATATCTATATCATTTTGAACAGCAGAAAATTCATGTTTTTTTGGAAACATGCAAATAAACAAAGGTAAACAGAGGAGGGTTTCTCTAAGGGAAGATGATCACAAAATCAAAACACTTCAAAAACTCAATGGAAGCAGAAGCTGAAAAATATAGGAAAAAAGTGAATTTGAATTCCCAATTTTCATTGGAAAATTAGGGGTCCTTACAAAAGTACAGCGTCAATGCACATTTATTGTACCTTGATTTCAATATTTGTAAGAAAAAACTGTTTGATTTCTATATTTATATCAAAATGATATAGATATTTCTATATCAAAAAGATATAGATATCAAGGATATCACGCCGTTATCGACCTGCTTTGATCAACTACTTTGCCTTACTTAACTCGCTTAACATCAGTATGTATAAAATTATCATTTTGACAGAATTTCCTTCATATCCATTACACTTTCCTGTAAGTTCTCGTCCGTTCTTCACCGTAAAAGCGAAAAAAAAATGTCAGAAATTTAAGAATTCCCATATTTTTCAGCTTCTGCTTCCATTGAGTTTCTGAAGTGATTTGATTTTGTGATCATCTCAATTTAGGGAAATCTCCTCTGTTTATTTTTGCTTATTTGCATGTTTCCCAAAAAACATGAGTGTTCTGCTGTTCAAAATGATATAGATATCGAGGATATCACGCTTTCCTGAGGCTGATGTCGCACCCTCAGAGCGGCGAGGCGCGAGAAAACTCCTTGGCAAGAGTTTTACACTCGAGCGTAATTATTGTACCATCTGCAGGGGCTTTGCCGGCACTCTGGCGGCTGGCTGCGGCAGTAGTCGGCTGCCCGGGTACCACTTGCACGCCTCCCGTCTCAGACACAAATGCATCAAACACCAATAAATCTTCGGATTTTGAAACTTAAAAAGATGGATTATGGTTTGACACTAACTTTACAAACCAAATGAGTATTTACCGCTTCACATTAGCAACTTTCGAAAATTCCGGGTATAGCCTGGGACGTCCTGGAAAACCTGAATTATGATGATTTTATCCCGGAAAACTTGATAAATCGAAAAAAAACAGCTGGTAGAAAGAGGAGAAAAAGCTGCGAATGACACCCGTGCTGCTTGTCGGTTGTTGTTTTGTGAGGATTGAGTTGACCAAATATGGAATTTGATGGCATTGAAAAATTGGTTTCAGAAACTCTAAAAAGCAAGCTAAGGAAAAGAAAAAAAATTACTCTGTGTTCTATAGGGTTTGTTCTGTCTACCTGTCACTTGAACTTCTTCGGAGAGTAGGTACAAAAAACCAAAAAATAGCTTATGACCATGGCAAAAAGCATGAGTCAAAGATTTTGGTGATTTTTCGTGAGCTCATTGAATATTATGCAATAAAATTACAACCATTAGAAAGAGGATGAAATGATGCATCGAATGCTCCTAAGATCTCTTGCGTTCATTTGAAAAAAGCGACATTAATTTCTAAACGACCTAATATTAGGGCATTAACTGTTTTTGGCACCAAAGAGCTATATCCCAAATTCTGGAAGATTGGGTGCCGTTAGAATGAAACAAGGAAAAGCAAAAAACTATTGAGAGTAATCACTGTCAGAAACTTTCATTTTTCGAAGAGTTACGAAAAACTTCATAGTTTTGGTTGTTTAAACTGGATATCATATTTTGATTGCGAAAATAGAGAAGAAATAATCGCAGTATGAAACTCGAAAAGCTTTAGAGAGAACAGAAGCATGATAAAATACAGCAAATCCATGAAACCTTCATACGGCATGTGAAATCTCCCGAAGTAAAGAAAAATATGTGTTTACCAATTAGAATTGTCTCAATTAGTCCGCCTCAGTAATGACCGAAGCAAATAGCCTCAGTAATCTAAGATATATTGAGTACACGGTTTTCCCTGTAGCAACATTAACGCAGAAGGGTTACAGCACTCAATCTAACAACTTTAAACGTTAGTGTAGTCACATTCACACTTGATTTGTATCAAATACATACTTATATATAACGAGAAACTCGCGTTTTTTTTTGGTGGTAAGAGATAATTGATAAAATTCATGTTCAAAAAAAATAATCCGTTTGCTTGTTGTTCGCTATTGATTATTTGTCAATATATTGTTATCAAATCGGTGATTCTAGGCCAGTACGTCGGTAGTTACCAGCACTACTACTCAGAAACTTGCTTATCTGAATAATGTCTTTTTTTTGC